GCAATTCTTACCGCTACTATTGACGACAGAGTGGTAGAAGAGGAGGAAGAAGCTGAGCACGTACAAGAAAAGGAAGAAGACGAGGATGAGGAAGGAGAATTTCATCCAGTCAAGGAAAAAGTTTTCAAAGAGAAGCAAGAGAGACTCGCCTGCAACCCAAAAATGGCGATATCAAAGGGTTCTGCCAAATATCTATCTGAATCTTTAGCCGTTACAAACAGGGGGTGACCCCAACATGTTTCGGCAAAGAAGCGGACCTCCAAAAAATATTAATATGTCAGGTTTCTTTTGGAATGTTCGAGGGCTAAATAAATCAACTAAGCATTCCATTATAAGCGATTGGGTGGAGAAGGGAGGTTTGCAATTTGGAAGCTTGTTGGAGACTCAGGTGCAGGAGGGTAGAGTGCAGGAGATGAGTACAAAAAATTTCAGAAATTGGTAAGTCCTTACCAACTACGAATACAACCATCTCGGGCGTATATGGGTAGTATGGAAGCCAAATATCAGGCTGACTCCAGTTTTTAAGAGTGGCCAGATGATAACATGCTCAATTCAGTTGGAGCAACAAGAAGAAGAGTTTTTTTGCTCTTTTATCTATGCCTCAAACTGTGTAGAAGAGAGAAAGGAGCTGTGGAATGACATACGCGATCATGATGCATCCCCCATCATTCGCAAGAGGCCATGGATGCTGGCAGGAGATTTTAATGAAATCTTAGAGGGGGGAAGAGCACTCTGATTTCGAGAATGCTATGCACAGTATTGCAGGCATGAGACAGTTTCAGCATGTTGTTAATCAATGTTCTTTAAGTGATTTGGCCTACCACGGTCCCCTATACACTTGGTCTAATAAACGGGACAATGGAGTGGTCTTAAAGAAGCTGGACCGAATGCTGGTGAATGAGGTTTGGGGCCAAGTATACACACAATCGTATGATGTGTTTGAGGCGGGGGGATGCTCAGACCATTTACGAGGAAGGTTTCAAATAAGTGTCCCCATATCAAAGCCTCGTAAGCCTTTTAGTCAATGCGGTAACATAACTAGCATACTTTTGCCCCAAAGTATCGGATTATTGGAAAGTCACAGAACCTCTTATTCTTTCGTCCTCAACAATGCATCGTTTCTCAAAAAAACTTTAGGGGTTGAAACCAGTTATTAGATCCCTGACCAAAGAGACGATGGGAAACTTGGTACAGAAGTCAAAAGAAGCATATGAGGACTTGTGCAAAAAGCAGCAGCTATCCCTTACAAACCCAACTCTACAGGCCCTGGCAGAGGAGAAGGCAGCGTATAGTAGATGGGATCTGGTCTCAGGTTTGGAGCAAAAGTATCTCAAACAAAAGTCCAAAATGCATTGGCTTCACGTGGGTTATAAGAACAACAAAAATTATCACAGGGGAGTGGTCACTAGGGAAGCCATAAACGCAATCAGAGAAATCAAATGTCGAGATGGTAGACTAGACTCAACAGGGGAAGAGATAAAGGAGGAAGCCGAATCTTTCTTCAAAGAATTTTTACAGCACACGCCAGAGGATTTTGAAATAACATCTCCAAGATATTCTGCAATTCAGGTGTTCGGAGGAGGACACACGGAAGCTCCTCAAAGAGATAACATCGGCAGAGATTAAAGGGATTCTCTTCGCAATGCCGTGAGATAAATCTCCAGGCCCGGACGGGTTTTATTCAGAGTTATATATCTCAGCGTGGAATATTATTGGTGAGGAGTTTACTACATTAGTGCAGGCGTTTTTTGTAAAGGGGTTCCTCCCCAAGGGGATAAACGTGACAATCTTAGCCCTAATCCCAAAGAAGACAGGAGCAACAGAGATGCGTGACTACATACCGATTTCGTGTTGTAACGTCATCTACAAGGTCATTTCAATGATTATTGCGAATAGACTAAAAAGGCTGTTACCGAATTTCATTTCTGTGAATCAGTCTGCTTTCATCAAGGACCGTCTACTAATAGGAAATCTTCTGCTAGCCACTAAAATAGTCAAGGATTATCATAAGGAGAACATATCGGCTAGATGCGCAATAAAGATTGATATACCCAAAGCTTTTGACTCAGTGCAATGGAATTTCTTGATGAATGTATTCGCTGCGATGAATTTCCCTCTTCTGTATATCAAGTGGATCTCGCTGTGTGTCACCTTGGCTTCTTTTTCAGTGCAATTGAACAGAGAGTAAGTGGGATTTTTTTATAGTAAAAGGACTCTCACTTGCTCACAAAAAGATGACGACAAATGATTACAAACCTTTGGTGGAGGGGATTAGATCAAGAATAGCGTCATGGACTGCTCGGTACTTATTCTTTGCAGGGAGACTCAATCTGATAAGCTCTGTCCTTTGGAGTATTTCAAACTTTTGGCTGTCCGCTTTTCAACTTCCTCGAGCTTGTATTCGGGAAATTGAAAAATTATGCTCCACTTTCCTTTGGTCAGGGCCGAAGCTAAATCCCAATAAAGCGAAAACATCCTGGGAATAAGTTTGTAAACCAAAGGAAGAAAGAGGACTAGGCTTATGGCCTCTACAAGAAATAAATAAAGTTTGTTGTCTAAAGCTGATCTGGAACTTGGTGTCTAAGAAGAAGTCTTTGTGGGTGGAGTGGATTGATACGCAACTGTTAAAAGATCAATCGTTCTGGTCTATCAAGGAAAGTACTAGTTTGGGTTCTTGGATGTGGAAGAAACTGTTGAAAAGAAGAGAGAAAGCAAAAAAGCTATGTAAAGTGGAGGTGAACAATGGGAAATCAACATCTTTCTGGTACAGTAATTGGTCTCCTATGGGCTCACTGTTAGATATTACGGGCCTCCGAGGAGTGATTGATATGGGGAATTCGGCTCCAAGATACAGTGGCAACAGCTTGGGGAAACCGACGAAGGTGCAGGCATCGAGTGGCTTTGCTGAACGATATAGAAGATATCCTAGCTGAACAAATGACTAAATGCAGGGATATAGAGGATACTGTACTTTGGCATAGTAAAGCAGATAGTTTCAGGTCAGTTTTCAGGTCCAAGGATACATGGCAGCTCATCCGTGAAGTCTCACCGAAAGTACCATGGCACAGGGGCGTCTGGTTTACTCATGCGACCCCCAAGTATTCCTTCTGCACATGGATAACAATTAAAAACAGACTCCCAACGGGTGACCGTATGCAAAGCTGGAATAGAGGAATCAACTCTGCTTGTTATCTCTGTCAAGCTCCATGGGAAACTAGAGACCATCTGTTTTTCGAATGTTCCTACTCCTCAGTAGTGTGGGAAGCGCTTACCAGAAAGCTACTTGGTTCAAGATTCACGCAGGATTGGCAGAGCCTTATCTCCTACATCGCTGACAAGGGGCTGGAAAAGATCCATGGTTTTCTTGTTTGCTATGTTCTTCAGCTTACAGTCCATAGTATTTGGCGAGAGCAAAATCGGAGGAGGCCTAGAGAAGTATCCACAACCTCGTCAAGCTTAATCAGCTTCATCGATAAACAGATGCGGAACAGACTGTCAACTATTCGCGCTTCTGGTGACAACTCGTTTGATGAGTCACTCTAAGCGTGGTTTGCTGTTCATGGCTAGCTCATGGAAAAAATCTTTCAGTTTTGTCTCGGAAATTTTGTTTAGATTTGTTTTTCTGCTGCTGATTTAGACATACTAGTTGTAAGAGAAACGGTTTTCTTTGAATTAATTTGACATATAGTTCAAAAATATTATGAATTAATTTGACATATAATTCAAAAAAATTATAAGAGCTACATAATATATAAAAAAAAAATAAAGAATACTTAAATATTACAACTAAATATGTCTTTAAAAATATTATTTGTCTACATACATGCGGGTCAACCATAAAAATTGAATAAATTATTATATATTTTAATATTTATCAGTTTATTTAGTTTACATATTTATATTTTTTATTTAAGAAAATATTTTAAAATCTTAATTAATAATTTTTTCTTCAATTTCTATTAGTCTATAACCTTTTTTATTTGATTTATCGTTATTTTTTATTATTAAATGTTTACATAATGTTATTATTAACACATAATTAATAATGTATAAATAGAATATTTTGAATATACAATATTAATTATATATTGAATATATAAAGTGTTTTATATCATGCACAAGGTGTGGACTGATCACTTAGTGTAAGTGTAAAACAAATCAATAATTATAAAAACTAGTAATAGTTTTATTGACCACAAAAAAACCTATTGATGGTTTTTAATTTTTAGTTTGTGTAATAGATAACTTTAGTTTACATATTAAGAATGTTTTATGCCATCATAAATCTAAAACATGCATTTAGTTACATTTTCTCTTGATTGAAAGACAATACAATTAACAAAAAAAAAGTTAGTCGTAAAAGATTTAAAGAGAAAAATATACTGCTACCAAAATTTATTTATGCTATGCATATATAAATGAAAAGTTAATTTGTTTTAATAATTAAATTAATTATTTTCTAAAACATGATATCATATATATACGACTATTATATGTTTACGGGTCAAAATTCATAAATGAAAAATGGATAACTATATATGGATTATGATAAGTTGATGAAAATAACTTTCTAAATTATGACAGTCAAATCAATTACGATATAACCTAAAATTATATTTATTTTATTCAACGCCAATTAAAATATATACAAATTATTTTGCCCAAAAAATTAACTTTGAAATAAACTTTCCGAGTCATAGGATCAACCACTATGTGTTTCTTAAGATTTTAAGTATGTAAATCAATAAATTATATTTTATAGTATGTACTTATTGAACATTTATAAAATGTTTTATATAGTCAAATGATAAAATGAAATATATTAAGATAGTCATTAAGATATTTTTCTTCCTTTGAAGTTAGTTTGCAATATATTACCTATTTGAGTCCAAATTTTCTTCTATATATATATATTCATGTAATAGTTTATTTTTCTTTCAGTTCAGTCATTTTCTCAAACCTTATATCATATATCTCTTTGTGCCAACTTTTATGAGAAAATGGCTGAAAATTTGAATGTAAATTTGGTTAAGAACATAATTCCTGAATTTCTTCGTGATATTTCAATCCTGTTAATCGATAATGACAGTATATCAGTCACATCTGTCACATCAATGCTTACAAAATTTTCGTATAAAGGTATAAAAACAATTGTTCATGATATTTTGTTTCTTTATTTTTACCATTTATATTTGTATTGATCATTTGTGTTTAAATATCGACTATTTTATGTAAATCTAAGATAAATTTGACCATATGTTGAGATTTTTTCAAATGATAAGAACTTAGAATCTCTAGATCTTGGGGGTTTTTGCATTGTATAAACCAAAGTTTTTGAACAAATTTGAAACATAATCAAATTTCACTATTTTTTGGGTTTTTATAAACATCTAACATGTAAATTGATGTACTAGTGATGAGCGTGAACATTGCAAGTGAGGCCGTATCGATGATCGAACAACAGAAGGATATTGGACTTGTCATAGCCAACATTGAAATGGCTCACATAGACTCACATTCCTTCCTAAATGCTTTGCTCCACAAAGAAATTCCTCTTATACGTAAGTAAATTTTCACACTTCTTTTGTTTAACTTCTTCCACCGTTTGTTTCTTCTGCAAGTTAATATATCTTTATTCTTTTTTGTGCGTTAAAGTGATTAGTCCGGAAATTAACACCAAGGAAGCATCAGATCTTTTGACAAAAACAGCATGCTTTTTCCCGAAGAAGCCGATTTCTGAAAATGACATTAACAACATGTGGCAGCATGTGGTGTCTAAGAAGAGCCAAGCGCTAGAGAAAATCAGCATTGCTGAACAACAAGAGAAGGTTACGGGCAACAGTGCATTAAACAAGATTGAAGCTTTCAGAGAAACCATTAAAAGGCAAGGAACAAGTCAATCATCATTGTTAGGAAAAACGACGACCGTTCATCAACATATTCACAACTCCTGAAACATATCAAAAGAGAAAAATCATAGCAAATGATGAGACTGAGAAGAAGAGAGAAGAAGAATGGAAATTGGAAAGTAATATTGGAAGACGATGTTATATATGGACTCATGAGCGTCACTTGAGATTTTTAGCTGCTATTTCCATCTTGGGTGACAAAAGTAAGAATTTACATTTTACTTTTTACCAATTCTTTTTTGTTTTCATCATTTTCTTATACTTCTTTGTCTTGCAGATTGTCGTCCCAAAGCCATATTGAAAATTATGAATGACCCAAACTTGAGTCATCGCCAAGTCAGTAGCCACCTTCAGGTTCATATATACTTATATACTTTGATTCAATATATAATATTGTTGGATGGTCTTATTATAAAAACATTCATCGTATAATTGTTTCAGAAATACAAATCTCAAGTTCAACGAATTAACGATATACTGCCGAAATATGAATGTCGATCAAGAGATAAAACATGTGTATACCCTCCAGATTATAAATATCCTTTCAATGTATCCGACTTAGCGAAGAATCTCATTCAAAGTAACACTTTGTGGCATTCCCTGAGAAAGAAAAAGTCCTCATCATCATCCATTTCGGAATGCAAGTCTTCTTTTACTATATGCGTATACTTTTCACTATTTCTATAATTTTGTATCATATTTGTGTTAATATTGTTTTTCTTTTTAATGCAGATTCATTTGAAAAAAGTGCTACTGTGGAGACGCCAAAGTTTCATCTAGGCGGGAAACTGGATCTGAGTAATCATTCCGATTTTTGTAACATACTGAACAAGCCATCCATGAAAGTCCATTCTGTTCCTTCAGCCACAAGTAAGAACCCATCTTCCATTATTCCTCCTTCTACCAATAGTGGCTTAAGTAGCAACAACCCTCCTCTCCTTTCTGGTATACCATCAAGTGTTGGTGCATCTAGCTCTAGTTTTGAGACCGGCATGAACCAACTAGATCTAGACTCTATTCATATACCAGATTCTTATGTTCCTCAAAGTGATCTATTCAATATAGAAGATGGCTATTTTCTTCCAGACGAGATGGACCAGATGGATTGGGTTCTACCGATGGAGAACTACAGTCATCATGCAAACAATATGAGTCAAATGGATTGGAGTCCTTCAACAGAAAATCATGTTCTTCCTGAAACCAATACAAACCAGATGGGTAGGATTTCTTCTGGAGGAAATCCTGTAGGCTTTGTTTCTGGTGAAGCAAGTTATGAAATCATTCCTGAAACAAATACAAACCAGATGGATTGGTCGTTTTCTGAAGAGTGTTTCCGTCTTTTTGAAAATACAACTCAAGTGGGTTCGGACAACGTGGTTCCTTTTGGTGCTAATGATGATGTTCCGATCGATGATCTGATCTCATTTGACCCTGACGTCAACGGTGGGTATGATCTAGACGCTTGTATGGAAAATTACGATTTTAATGAAAGGAATAATCGTTTTCCAACGAGTTATATTGGACATAACTCTGCCTTCAATACCCCGATAGACTCAATCCCTCACGTCACGATGGAGGATCATGATCAGTCTCTTGGTGTGAATTTGGGTTCGACAAGCCAGCAACCATATATGATGGAGTCCTATGGATATCACAATGTAGAAGCCGCAAATCCAAGAGAGGCTATGGAGGGAGTGGATGGTTTTGATGATATTGATGTTGATCTTGAAAGCATGGATTGGTTCGATGAGATGCTGAACAACTTTGCACATGGCATATAGTTATACAAGATATGTTTTCTTGACGGTGGAGAGGATAAAGAGACTAATGAAAATGAGAGGAGTTCTCACACCTTTAGTACTTGTTTTTTTTTATTTTATACAAATGTTTTTCATACATTTACATGTATGTAAGTCATATACAATAATGTTGGAGATTTCAAAAGTTATTCAGAGTACTCTTGATCGTTATCTTATATGGTTTGAGTCTTTGAGATTCTATTTATGTTTATTTCTTTTCTGTCGTTAATTTTCTTATTATTGTGGATCCAGATGTCTACACTCAATGATTTGTAAAGTGTTTAGATGATATTGAGGAAAAAGTGGGTAAGAATCTCTATTTGAACAACTGAACATAAGATCAAGAATAGATAAATGGACTTTTATTGATTTAATCAAGAGATCGTTTACAAGAGATCGATTTTTGTGTGGTGCAAGAGCTCGTAGAGCGAATAATACTTTAGTTCGTGAGTATCTTCCTTAAATAATCTCTCCACTTCGTTAGCTTCAGCGCGTATCTCGTGATCCGTATCCCGCACGAGCTTCGGATCTCGCATCGTTCTTCTGAACCGTTCTCTTCTTATCCTTCTTTTCTCTTGTTGGGCCTTGAATTCGGAATGTGGACATCCTTCGAGGTTGGTTTCGATGGGCCAGTTGAGGGGCCAGATTTGGTGACAAATCCTGGTCCAACAGTTCCCCCCCCCCCAGCCCATCAGACGCTGTGGGAAGCCTGATTGGCGATTCATTAATCTGTTCGGCGGGAGCTCGTCGTATTTTCTGAGCCCGTGAGATTTTTGTTGAGGGAAAAGCACAAATATCCTTTCGATGATATAAATAAAATATTGTTTTCCCGATTAGATCCGAATATCGGGAAGCGGAAAGAATAAATTATTCGTCTTTATCAACGACAAGACGGTTGGGATTTCCAAGAGGAGAGAGAGGGAAAATAAATCTTTTAGGACTTATTTTCAATGAACGGAATGATTATTGTATATAAATGCAGTTTTTCCATCTCGCCTCTTCGTTAACCGCACACGTCTCCACTTCTTTTCAAGGTAACTTCCTCTTTTCCTTTTGGTTCTTTTATTTAAAGAATCGTAATTGCTTATTCTTGCTTTTCTTCCTTCTACTCTTTCGTTTCTGTTTACGAAAAGAGCTCAGGCGAGATTTACGGTTATTTTTGTGTCCGACTCAAATCGAGTGTTGTTTGTTTGTTTGCTGGCCTATTTCTTTCCTCTTTCTCCTTGATTTCCCTTCGTTATGGCCGATTCTCCTGCTAATCAAGGCAAGAAGCTAATGGCTATTAAGAAAGAAAAGGGGGATCCCGCCGACGGGTCTCGGCGTGTGAAGGCGTCGGCGATTCGGGGTCCTCGTTTTACCACGAAGATGAGTTCTGACGAAGTCGAGGAACTCCAGCTTGCATACGGGTCGAGATAATTAGGCCGCGAAAGCCGGAAGGTCCCCAAAGGGTGACGAGTGGATACAGGTGTGCCTTCTGGCAGTACTTTGAGTCCTGCGGGCTCACCTTCCCGATTCCGCGGTTCCTACTGGAGTTCGCGGCTGAGATGGGGATTGCGTTTCCCCAGATGCATACGAACCTGATTCGGACTATTATCGGATTGTGGGTTTTATCACGAGAGAACGGACTTCACTTCGGAGTGAAGGAATTTCACCGTCTTTGTATGTTGAAGAAGAATGCTCGCAGTGACGGCTCCTTTTACGTGTCCCCGAAATCGAATCGGAAGATCATCGACGGTTTGCCACCGCGGGATGACAGGTGGCAAGATAAACTCTTCTTCTTCAAGATCGATCAGTCTTCGGTCGGGGATTTCGATTTTAGCTTTCTGCCCTCCGAGTGGGCCGATTCCGTTGGTCAGGAGAATCCCGTTTAGTTCTTAGGCCTTAGATAGATTCTTTGCTGTTTTCCTGTTATTTTTGCTTGTTTGGCTTTCGTTCGTTTCGCGGACCGTATATTGACCAGGTTTCGCTTTGGTTATGGTACAGAGTCCATGAAGGCGAAGAATAAGCTGGTTGCTAATTATGAGGACCTGCTGCAGAGTGCACCTTCCGTCGACGAGCTCGCGAGGATAACTGCGGTGGTTGGCGAACTGAAGGACTCGTTGGAGGCGGCCAAGGCTCAGATAGCTGTCTAGCTGTCTGCGAGAAGGAGCACACTCCTTCCAGCGAGTTAAATCATTACGTCGAGTTGCTAGAAGCTCAGATCAAAGTCGTGAGACTCTAGTGACAAGTTGCTGTTGATCAGGCCGCCAAGCTCGAGGCCCAGAACAACGAGCTGAGGGACTCCAAGGAGGAAGCCATCCGTCGTGCTGCCAGAGCTGGGAAACGCGAGATCAAGGCCGGGTACTGTAAGCTGCTGAAGTCGTTGAGGGAGAAATGGGACAAACGCAAGGGCGAGGTGGACTGCCGCATTTCTCTTCAGGAGGTCGTTGCTAATATCGACCTGATCACGGATATAATGGTCGGGACAGCGAAGGTTGAAGAAGAATTGCCCAAGTGGTCGCGCAAGGCTGATAGCTATGAAGGAAAGCTCAAGGGGCTGGTTGTTTTCGATATGACTCTAGCCAAGCTGGATATTCCCCAAGTTTCTGATGACTCCGTTCTGATGACTCTAGCCAAGCTGTCACCGATGTGCCGGCTGGCTTGGATGAATACGGGAGTAATAGCAGCAAGGGTTCTCCAGGCAATGATTGTGGTGAAAAAGGCGATGGCGCAGAGGGGTCCGGAACCGGTGTTCAGGACGAGACCGGACTCGGGTCTGGTACGGAGAAAGATCATGATGATATCCCCTTGCCTACGGAGTGATCCCGAAGATTTTTCGCCTTTCCCTTTTTTGCCCGGGAGGGTTTTCATCCTTGAACTCAGTTTGTCTATTGGATTTGTTGTGTTTGTTTTCTCTTGGTCGCGAACACTTTTGGTTAGCGACGCACTGTGGTTTCTGTTTGCCTGGGAAGGCTTTTCTCTTTTAATCGAATTCCGTGTTTTAGGAACTTTCGTGCTGCATAGTTTGACTCTGTTTTCGATTGTTTGCTCAAATTCTATCTTGTTTCGTGCTGGTTGAATTCTCGCGAGCTGTCCCGAGAGCGGGCGTCAGCTCGCGTGATATTTGCATTTTTCTCGAGCTGTGGAGGCTAAGTGTTTGTACGGGTTTCAGAATGGTAGTTAGAGTTCAAAGTGCTTTTAGTGCGAGATGAGGCTCGGTACGTTGCCCGACTCGAGTTTGTTTGGGCTGTAGTACTTGTGCTAAAGCAGGTTATTATGCGAACATTTGTTCAGGCATGTAAGAGATGAGCTCGTGGGGGTGTTGTCTGGCCAGACGTTTTTTAGCGGATCGTCGTTGATCCCGAGTACTCGTTTATACCTAATCGTTCGCGCGTCGTATTAAGAGACTATGAACTCGGTTAAGTTTCAGAGGCTTGTAGCCTGTCTTATATATAAAAAGATTTGTGTATACAGTGAAGTACAAAAATGCAAACAAAAGTTTTGAAGATTGGGGCTGGACTCTAGGGACGAGCTGCCTACTTACCCCGCCAAGGGATCAAGCCTTGTCGTAGTTCAATTTTGGGACTATTTCAGGAATAGTATCATTTGAGGTTCATGGAATTCCATGGACGCAGCTCGGCTTTTCTCCTCTTTTGATCTAAGAGTCTGTAGAAACTGGGGCGAACTACTGCGGTGACCTTATAGGGACCTTCCCAATTGGCCCCTAGTTTTCCACCTGTTCTGCACGTTTTGTCGAAGACTTTCCGAAGTACTAGATCGCCGACTTTAAACGTCCGTTCTTTCACGTTTGAATTGTAGTAGCAGGCTGCGGCCTGCTGATAGCTCTGGATGCGGACTAAAGCTTGATCTCGTTTTTCTTCGATTAGGTCTAGTTTGTCTCTGAGCATCTCTTCGATGAGTTCTGCGTTGATTGGACAAAGCTGTCGTCGGAGGGTTGGGACCCTGAGTTCGGTTGGGATCACGGCTTCCACCCCGTAGGCCAGCGAGGAAGGTGTTTCTTTAGTTGCTTTGTGGGGCGTGGTTCTACTGGCCCACATGACCGCATTCAGCTCGTAAGACCATATTTCCTTCCTAGCGTCTAACCTTTTCTTGATGTTATTCATTATTGTTTTATTCGTCGCTTCTGCCTGGCCGTTTCCCTACGGGTACCTGGGTGTGGAGTAGGATATCCGTATATGCCACGTTTTGCAGAAGTCCCTGAAGGCGCTTTTGATATAAATTGTGGGCCGTTGTCCGTTACGATTTTGTATGGGAGGCTGTGTCTGCATATTATATCTTGCCATATGAAGTCTTGTATGTCGACTTCAGTCGTTTGCTGGTAGGCTCTTGCTTCTACCCATTTGGTGAAATAGTCTGTTAGGACCAACACGAACCTTAGCTGTTTTGGTCCCGAGGGGACCATTGGCCCTACGATATCCATAGACCATCTCATGAATGGGTATGGGGCACTGATGGACGAGAGGTTTTCGGTTGATTGATGGATTGCTGGCGCATGCTTTTGGCAGTCGTCGCATTTTGCAGCGTAGCTTTCGCAGTCCGCAATCAGCGTTGGCCAAAAGTAGCCATGTTTCTTGATCCTTATGGCCAAGGTTCATCCACTGGAGTGGCTGCCACACACACCGTGGTGAGTGGTGGACATGATGGCCAGGATTTCCATGCCGTGGATACATCTGTAGTACGGCTCTGATAAGCTGCGTTTGTATAGTTTTTCTTCAATTATACAGTAGCGGGAGCTTTTGGTTCTCAGTTTTCGGGCTTCCCACTTGTCGTCGGGCAAGGTGCCATTTTGGATGTATTCGAAGATCGGGATTCGCCAGTCCGAGCGAGCGTGGAATTTTTCGTCCGCGACGAACCATCTTTCGGTGCCGGTTGCGTTCGATGCGGTTTGCTCGTTCGCATCAGGGTCTGGACCGGGATTTGGGTTCTCCGCGTCTGGTGCATCCGTTTTGTTTGTCGACGCAGACTCCTTGGAAGGTTCGCTC